CCCCGCCCCGCCCCGGCCCGCCTGCCAGCCCCGAGAGCCAGGCGGCTGCCCTGCGGGGGGAGACCCTGGCCCAGAAGCTGGAGGGGAAGCCCCTGGCCGATAAGCTGCGGCCGGACGCCTTGGGGGACTACGTGGGGCAGGATCAGGTGCTGGGAGAACAGACCCTCCTGCGGTCCCTGCTGGAGGCTCACGAAATCCCCTCGCTCATCCTCTGGGGGCCCCCTGGCTGCGGCAAGGTGAGTGGCGCCGTGGCCGCTTGAGCGGTCCAAGGGAGCCCCGGCCTGAATGTGTCGCCTTTCCTGGGGCCATCTCCTGTCCAGAGCTCTGCCCGGCTTCCACCCGTGCCACCCGCACGTTGACGCCGGCCTTGCAAATTCCGGCCAACATGGAAAGTGCGAGGGGAGGCAGGAGTTGTACCCAAACACAGCTTCCCCATCCATTCTCTGTTCCTGCTCTGAATTTCCCAGCACGTGGGTCCATGAATATCCTAGTAGACAGGCAAAGTGAGGGAGGCACTAGGTTTTGTTGAACCAACTTCTGTTGATGAGAGAGTCAAGCTTTTGAGCCACACAGTGCTCATTTTCAGGTCTCCATGGCTTTGAAAGTAGTCTGTGTTACCTTCAGGGAATTTGGTATAATAAAATATTTTGCCTCACCCACCTTGTGTGTCTAATATCCTGGGATGGACCAGGCTAGAACAGGCCTGCTGTTCTTTACTGTCCATCTTCTCCAAGTACTTTAGTCGGCCTATGCATTTCTATAGGTCTCAGTGCCATGGGGCAGTGCTTACCAGGCTAATGACATAACCTTCCCTTTAGTAAGCAGGACGTCTGACAATGTTTCTGTACAGGTGACCCCCAACTTGCAACAGGATCGGTTCCCCCTGGCTTGTCTGGATCTGGCCCCCGAGCCTCACCCCTTCCTCCAGCGTTGGAGAGCCTGCACTGGTGCTCCAGTTCCCCCGCCATTCCCCCACGGGGCTGGAGCACACAAATCTACTAGCCTGAGCGCCTCCCCCCTCCAAGCTCTGGTGTGCCAAAGGAATGTTTTTGTCCTTCTCAATCTGAGCGTTTTTTGTTTTGTTTTTCTTTGCTTCTCACTTGTGTGCGGCCCCCAACCCAAAATAAGGTCCCCACCCCTGTTATAGTAGGTCAAGAGGCATTTTGCTGACATTGACTATCTGCAGGCACAGCCCCCAGCAGCCACAGTTCGCTGTTTCTTGGCCAATGGGAGCTACAGGAAGCAGTGAGCCACAGGGATATGCTGGTTGCTCATTGCTAATCTAGTCTGACCCCCTGAATAAGAGAGGCCATAGAACTGACCCAAAATAACTTCTAGAGACTATCTTTCATTTAAAAAAAAGTCTTAGGTTTAAAATTGGCAGTGATCGAGAATCCACAGAGGTTAGTATGGTGTACTGGTAAGAATGGGACACTGGTACCAGCCCTTACATGGCTAGCATCAAAGCACTGCCATGACTGTTTTAATGTTGCTGCCCCCCTTTGGCAGCCCTGCCAGTCGGGTCAGCCGTGG